GGATTGCGAAGTAATCTAAAACCAATAAATAAACCAGCTAAGGTGGCTCATGGCATCACTGCAGGGCCTCTGATCAGAGGTCCTGGACCCGAATCCCGACGGTGACAGGATTTTCGACAGGTGGCTGGCTAGGTACGACGGGTTCATCCGCAGTCTGAAGGATAATTCTAGTAGCTTCTAGTTCTGATCGGTAGTTTTCCGTAGTTTACACGATCAAGACCAGGCGAATGCCGGAGCAGTCCCCTCACAAACAGGCCACGAACCGCGCGCGATCTTTCCTGCATCTCCCTTTCTCTTTCCTCGCCCCTTCACACACACACACCATCATTCACTACATTACCAATATGTTGAGAGACTAGACTGGCACAGGTGGCTCAGGGCATTACTGATGTCACTGATGTCCAAGGGTTCGAGTTCCGATGTTCGTAGAATTTTCGACACTGGCTAGACAGCTGGGAATGAAGCTGGTATCTGGATCATAATTCTAGCCGCCGGCTACTCTGGTAGTTTTCCGTGGTTTCTCTGATGAATATCAGGCGAACGCCGGAGCAGTCTCGTAAAAAACGGGCCACGAACCCCGCGCCATCTTTTTTTTTCCTCTTTTTGTCCTATCCTCACTCCTTACACACAGACACACACTCACATGCACTACTCTATCAGACTTGGAGACCAGTCGAGATCTTAGAGCTTGTCCCGGCAGGGGTGGTGCCGCGCTGGTGGGAGATACCTAGTTGGGGAAAAAAGGCCCGAAAGCAACGTAGGTCGGCCTCGTATCTCGCCAGCCAGCAGAGGAAAATCTCCGCTACCCCCGCGATAAAAGCATGCACTATTTAAGAATACGGAACGAATTACCTTAGCCCTTGACGTGCCCGAAATCATTAATGAATCAATTAATTAATTGGGAGGTCAGTGGGGGTCTTAGGGATTGTTCCGGCTGGGTCGGTGTCTCGCTGATGAGAGATACTGGATGGAGAAATCCCGCAATCTAATGTGTGTAATGGCGTCGGATCTCGCCATCCAGTGAGTGAAGAACATCGCGACCTTCCTTGATAAAAAAATCTGCATTAAAAAGAGTGCCCAGAAACAAAGAAATATTTAATCAATCAATCTATATATAAATATACGTAACGGTTATTATAAATATAGTTAAATGTAATACTGTTGCCCTGCCTTTTCCTGTTTGTTTTTCCACATCGTTTTATTAAGTTTTGTCCGCTTGTAAATAAATTTGTTCAATATGTCTCTAATAACGGTAACCATCTGATACAAAAAGCAAGCTTACTTGCTAGCGTGGTAAGTTGGAACAATTTTAGCTTCTTATGAAAGAGAAATCCGGAGAAAATATATTTTGGAAACATAATAAGTTTCAAGCAAATCTTTAGATACTGTTTGGGATACGTTTGGAAAATTGAAACGCGGCCAAAACGTACGCGCTACATGTACATTACAATCTAATACACTAATTAAATATGAAACTTTGTCATGTTTTTGTAGAATCAATCCATCTTTGCTGTAATAATTTCCAAGTTACTGAGATAATTTTAAGAAAGTGAAATGTAAATATATTTTATCTCTACATGAATATTATAATGATCTTAGAGTAATTTTTAAAAGTTTAATTTTAAGAACTGTTTCCGCAAATTGCTTAGTGATTTGTTCGCCCCCAAGTTACTAAAGTTGCCTAATTTAAGAGTATGAATATTTAATGCGCATCGTGTTAGACACCTTGTACAAAAACGCCCTTACACACAGAGAAATCAGACCATCGTAGCTTTTTGCCAGAAAATTAATCTGTATCGGCACAGCCTTGGAAGGCGGCGCGCGGATGTCGCCGCAGGTGCTTCGTGTGCTCGTTGCTGCCGTCGCGAATCGATGGGCGACGTGCTTCGTGCGGCGCACAGGGCCCGGAGGCTGCCCGCGCCTGCGTCAGCCGCCCCGCGGGCCCACAGCACGCGAGCACCGGGATATGCGCCGGCGCCGCGGGGGCGGAGGCCGGGGCCTGAATTATTCGCGGGGCCGAAGGAGGCGCGGGCCGCAGACTCAGCTCGGCTCAGCTCGTAAGACGCGCAGCGCCCGCCCGGCAGCGGCGGGGCCGTTCCGAGCGCCGGGTCTGTTATGGCTGCGAGGCCGCCCTTAATGGCCTATAAAGGCTGTATTTCTTGTGTCTCGCGGTCCCGACGGGCCACCGATCAAATCACTGATTGGGACCACTTGTTACGGCCGCTGCTGGCGCGGGGGCGGTGGACTGCAGGAGCCACGTCAGCGCGACGGTTGATCCGGGGGGATTGCGCGGTACAAGCGATTGGCTCGCCAACTGACTGCCGAGATCAACCCCCTGCCGACGAGGGCTGGCTGGGTTGCTCTCTCCGTGTGGGAGGGGGGTGGACCAGTGCGAATTCTGGCCATTCGTCTTCGGGCAGCTTTTCGCTCGGTCTCCTCCCGTTCCTTCGCGATGCGATGTGTTGAATTATTTCGTTCCGTCGTTCCCTTTTTCTCCTTTCTAGTAATCCGCGCCTTCTATTCTTCGACCCTCGTTTTCTTGACTTTCCTCGTCATTTCTAACGGGCTATTATTTCTTCTGAATGAAACGGTCTAAACGAATAGTGCCTGACTTGTTTAACTCCCTCTACTTCTTGTGCAAGAGAAGAGACATGGGAGAATACTGTTTCTCGGTGACCAGATCTTAATAATATTTCTACTTTCTCCTACACACTGATTCCCTAAAAGAGGATTTGTTTGCCATTGTATGTAGTAAGTTACTTTTCCTAATATGTAATCAGAGATGTTGTTAAAAATGTT